CGCTGTGCCTCCCAGGCTCGAGCGATCCTCCCACATCAGCCTCTGGAGTAACCGCGACTACAGATGCACCCTACCACACCCAGCTAATTTTTGCATTTTTGTATTTTATATTTTTTCTCTACAAGAGTTGGAGTTTTGCCATGTTGCCCAGGCTGGTCTCAAACTCCTGCCTCATCCTCCCAAAGTGCTGGGATTACAGGCCTGAGCCACCACACCCAGCCTTAGTCTTACTTTCAAGCTTATTGGGAGTTAGGACTGTCAGTACTTATGTTCTTGATTTACTTGCTTTGTTAAATGTGTCAAACTCTACTTCACCTTTTCTGCAGCAATGAAAAGATTAATGAGCAGCGCCATCCAATAGAAATATAATGCAAACATGTATGTAATTTTAAATTTTCTAGTAGCTACATTTAAAATAGCCAAAAGAAACAGGTGAAATTAATGTATTTACTCAGTATATCTAAGATCATTTCAACATGTGTTTCCAAAATGAAGAATAATAATGAGGCCAGGCACAGTGGCTCATGCCTGTAATCCTCATACTTCGGGAGGCCGAGGTGGGCGGATCACCTGAGGTCAGGAGTTCAAGAGCAGCCTGGCCAACGTGGTGAAACCCCATCTCTGCTAAAATACAAAAATTAGCTGGGCGTGGTGGCTGGTGCCTGTAATCCTGAGACAGGAGAATCGCTTGGACCCAGGAGACAGTGGTTGCAGTGAGCGGAGATCGCACCACTGCACACCAGCCTGGGCAGCTGAGCAAGATGCCATCTCAAAAAAAGAAAAATAATAATGAGATTACGTTTTTCCCTCCATTAGGTCTTCAAAATTCAGTGTGCTTTTTACCAGCACATCTTAGTTTGGGGTAGCCAGTAGCTGTCATGCTGGACAACACTGTTGCTGAGGGAGCAGCCCCACTTTGGTTAGCCTGGCCTCCGTTCACAGGCATCCTTTCCCACCTCTTGAAATGGAAAAGGAGATCATCCTGTCCCTCCTCTGACTCCGGGCATTTTATTCAGATATTCCCTGTATTTTATCTTTGGCCTCTCCCACTGCATGTCTTCCTCTCCCAGATCACGCCCATCTTTACAGAGAAACCTTCCTTGTTTTCTACATTTGCCTGCCTCTGGTCTCTGTAATGAAACCTGCTTAAATGGTTACCTGTATTCTCTCCAACCTTCTGTAGACTACATGCCTCTTATTTTCACTCCACCACAACTGCCAGGGCTCCCGGTGAACTGTCACTAAATCCAATCAATAGTTGGTTTTCTGTCTTTGTTCCTTTCTCTCCCAGTAGTATTTGTTAGTGTGGCCCCTTCCACATGTATCTTGGTTTATGTGACACCACTCTCAATAATTCTTCCAGTCCACCTTCCACATGGCAACTGGAATACTCCTTCTAGAAAGCACAAATCTATTCTTTCCTCTGCATGATAACCCTTTAGTGGCTTCACTATTAGTAAAGTTCACAGTTTTATAAGTCCTTACAATATTGGCCATATCTATGATTCAAATGCAGTGTAAATCTTGAATACCACAGTTGTTCATCCATGCCTGTAGCGTACAGAACCACTTTATCTTGAGCACTAAAAAGACAGCATGGTGTAATAGGAAAAGCTTGGAAATGGAGAGCTCACCTACCTCTTACATGTATGACAATAGATGGGCCACTGGTCTAGACCTTTATTTACAAAATGGGGATAATTCCTACTTTCTAGTTAGTAATGCTATCAAAAATTAAGTGATCTGACATATTTGAAAGTGATTTGAAAAACTGAACGTGTTGTATGATGGAGGATTTAGCAGTAAAACAATGAACAATGGTGTATACGCCTTCCAGAAGAAATGTACCATTTAATTATTCCAAAAAGGTCCATTTGAAATCTTCCAAATTCTAATTCTGAAGTAAGCATATGAAAATGTAACTAAGATGGCACGTACACACACTACTTGAGAACACAGGCCAGTCTCACTTACAATTTGCTATATCAACAAATTAAAAGGAAGAAATGATATGATCAGCTTCAGAGATGCTGCAAAGACAGGAATAGACAGAAATTTCTTTAACATTGTAAGTATATTTTGGCCTGGCGTGATCACTCATACCTGTAATCCCAGCACTTTGAGAGACAGAGGCAGGAGGATCTCTTGAGACCAGCCTGGGCAACATAGGGAGACCTTGTCTCTATAAAAAATTTAAAAGTTAGCCAGGGATGCACCTGTAGTCCCAGCTACCGGGGGGCTGGGGGGGCTGAGGTGGGAGGATCACTTGAGTCCAGGTGGTCAGGGCTGCTGCAGGGAGCTGTGTTTGAACCATTGCACTCCAGTCTGGGTGACAGAGCAAGACCCTCTCTCAAAAAAAATAAAACAGTGTATTTATTTCAACCCGAAAGCCAGCATGATGCAAATAGGAAAACATTCCTGTTGAAGTCAAGAACAGTCTGAGGATATTCCATTATTTACCTTGTTCTAGAGGTAATTAGCACATTTTTGTATATGGTCATGTGTTGCTTAACTTTAGAGATATGATCTGAGATGTGATCAACTTCAGAGATGCTAAAAAGACAGGAATAGAAATTTCTTTAATTTCTGTTGTCATATCAGACGATTTCTTCATTGTGGAAAACATCAGTGTGTACTTAATACAAACCTAGATGGCATAACTTACTAAAAACCTAGGCTCTGTGGTATAGCTTATTTCTCTTAGGTTACAAATCCATTCGGCATGTTACTGTACTGAATGTTGTATGCAGTTGTAACACAGTGGTAAGCATTTGTCTATCTAAACATAGAAAAAGTGCAGTAAAAATATGATATAAAAGATAAAAAATGGTACAGCTGTATAGGACATTTACCATGAATACAGCTCGCATGACTGGGGGTTGCTCTTAACATTTTATTTCTTGAATGATAGAATAACCTTAATTTACTGTAACATTTTTCTTTTTTTTTTTTGGGGGGGGAGATGTGGTTTTACTATTCTCTGTTGGCCAGCCTGGTTTTGAACTGCCGGCTTCAAGCAGTTCTCCCACCTTGGCCTCCCAAAGTGTTGAGATTATAGGCATGAGCCATGGTGTCTGGGCAACATTTTACTTTCTAAACTTAATTTTTTTTTTTTTTTAACTTTTTGGCTCTTGTAAAAACACCTTAAAACACATTGTAGAGCAGTACAAAAATATTTTCTCTCTCCTTTTTTTTTTTTTTTTTTTTGAGACAGGATCTCGCTCTGTCAGGCTGGAGTGCAGTGGCGCATCACAGCCCACTGCACCTGTAGCGTTGACCTCCCTGGGCTCAGTGATCCTCCCACCTCAGCCTGTCGAGTAGCTGGGACTACGGGCATGCACCACCATGCCTGGCTCATTTTTGTACTTTTTTTAGAGAGGGGGTCTCACTATGTTGCCCAGGCTGGTCTTGAATTCCTGAGCTCAAGCAATCTGCCTGCCTTGGCCTCCTAAAGTGCCGAGATTACAAGCATGACACATAGCGCCTGGCCAGTATTTTATTTTATATTGTATTCTGTAAGGTTTTTTTCTGTTTTTAAAATTTGTTTGTTTTGCTTTTTTAGCTTTTTTGTCAAAAACGAGGACACAAACACACACATGAACCTAGGTCTACACAGGGTCAGAGTTATCAAGACTCTGTCACCCAGACTGGAGTGCAATGGTGCAAACACAGCTCCCTGCAGCAGCCCTGACCACCTGGACTCAAGTGACCTCCCACCTCAGCCCCCCCAGCCCCCCGGTAGCTGGGACTACAGGTGCATCCCTGGCTAACTTTTAAATTTTTTATAGAGACAAGGTCTCCCTATGTTGCCCAGGCTTTTTTTCAGCTCCATTGTAATCCACAGACCACCCTCATTTGTGTGTCCTCTCCTTGACCCTGTGGATGTGACTGTATATGTAGATTTGAAAGGTGAAATTTTGATAGTAATGCCATTTCAGAGAACTTTTGGGTTCTTAAGATACTAGTAAGTCAGTTCAGAATTTGTGTTCCTCTATTATTGTTGTAAATTGCATTTAAATTTCCAGAGTTGCTAATGAAAATGCTCTCGATCCAGTGTGGCAGAACTGTGTGGTCAGCAATACAGTCGACATTGCATCCTTTCTTTATAAGGTTGTTCTCATGAAAATTTTTTCTGATAATGTGTTATGGATAGTATTAAGAGAAACAAAACTCCATAAAAATAAACATTGGCCGGGCGCTGTGGCTCACGCCTGTAATCCCAGCACTTTGGGAGGCCGAGGCAGACGGATCATCTGAGGTCGGGAGTTCGAGACCAGCCTGACCAACATGGAGAAACCCTGTCTCTACTAAAAATACAAAATTAGCCAGGCATGGTGGCACATGCCTGTAATCCCAACTACTTGGGAGGCTGAGGCAGGAGAATCGCTTTAACCTGGGAGGCAGAGGTTGCCGTGAGCTGAGATCGTGCCATTGCACCCCAGCCTGGGCAACAAGAGCAAAACTCTGTCTCAAAAAAACAAACAAATTACCATTACTCTTGAAAGAGTCACAGTCTAGTGGAAGAGACAATAATTATTTTTCCCTTCAAAAAGATACTTGAATAAAGATAATGTGCTAGTAATTGCAATGGAATAACGTGAGGAATGATTACCATGTGATTGCCCAAGGTTACACAGGCAGAAGTGACCTCCTAATTTTTCAGTGTCTATGCCCATAAAACGATAGTGCTGCCTCATGGAGTGGTTGTAAGGAACAAAGACATTGATACATGAAAGCCACTAAGAATAATGCTTCAGCCTTTTTCCAGTGCAGCCCAAGGAATGGGAGTGGGGACTGTCCATTCCTTTTTGGCTCAGTGTTGCAGCAATGGGAGTGAAATTCCAGGGGCTCCGACTGCAGCAGGGAGGGCATAGGGGCCAGAGCTAGGCCGCCCTCCTGTGTGAAGGGCCCTGGTCAGTTGAAGAGGACTCTGGTTCCCCAGGGTTTCCAGTCAAAGCATGAACAGTGCTGTTAATGGTGTACTTTTGTTGTTACTTCAGGTCTGGTGAGCTGTGCCTTCTTTCTGGCAGTGAATGGTCTGTATTCCTCTAGTGACGATGTGATCGAATTAACTCCATCAAATTTCAACCGAGAAGTTATTCAGAGTGATAGTTTGTGGCTTGTAGAATTCTATGCTCCATGGTAAGTATTATAAAATAGTTGTAGATTATTTATAGTACTTTCTGAAATTGGAGAAAATGCTGTATAAAAATCTGATTTTATTAAGTCATCTAGTTTAGCTTACTGTTTGTTTAAAAGAAGTAGAGAAGAGGGAAATGGGAAATGCAAAGTATCTCGTCTATTGTTAAGGAAGATCTACTGATGGGGTGATGTGTGTGGAAGGAAAACTAATTTTATGAGGAAGGAATCTTGAGCAAAGAAAATAGAGGGGCTAATGATTAACTTCATTCTGTTTCTTGAAGAGAATTATTTCCTGAAATAATGTAGTTAGAAAATCTGGTTTAATTTAAAAATTCTTGCCTTACATTCAATACTGGAAAAACCCCTGTGGGGTAAAAATGTAATCACCATTGAAACTAAGGCACAAAATTATATACAGTTAAAAGTACAACATTGTGCTAATGGTTTGTGTGATTAAAGCATTTAATGAAAAAAAAAAAAAAAACAAATAGAAGAGTGGAAACTGTGCCAGATGTATATGAGGCTGTCTCTGCTGTAAACCAGCAGGCCACGAGTATCCTGAGAGGAGAACCGAACCCTAGCCCACTGTGTATCTGTGAAGACCTGTGTGGTGATCTGAAATCCCAAGGAGTTCTTTGACATGTGAACAAGGCTTTGTAAGCTTGAGTGAGCGATACTGAAACCTGATGGTTGCATTTTAGGGTATGCCTGATGAAAGTTTTTCCTTTCTCACTTTAACTTTTTTCTTTGAAACTGAGTTTTAGAAACTAACCACCATTCCTCATGGACCATTTTACTTCATGCTCAGTGTAGCAAATGGAGGTAAAAACGCTCTATTTTCAAAGTGGATGCTGCCACATTGTGTGTCCTGTCCACCTAATGCCTTTACTATTTTTAAAGGCTCTGGTATTTATGTGTTCAATGCAAATGCTAATTCTGTATGGATTAGCTCATTTATACTAGCAAATATATAAATAGTAATTGTACAAACTGTTGTGTTGTCAAATGTCTCCGTATGTGGTTTTTACAAGCTTACCATATATGGCATAGGTAATTTACCTTGTTTCTGAGAGTGACCATGCAAGAGAAAATACCTCATTGTAAGACTCTACAAGACAGCATAATTGAGAAGGCAGGATCTGGATCCACTAGTTAATAATTATTATACTGGCAGAGTTTTACTTTGTGGTGTCTGGGTGAAAGAATGTCTGATTAGAGCAAGCGCTTTTTTTGAGAGACAGGGTCTCAGTTCTCCCAGGCTGGAGTGCAGCGGCATGATCACGGCTCACTACATCCTTGATTTCTCAGGCTCAGGTAATCCTCCCACCTTAGCCTCCCCAGCACTGGTACTACAGGCATGTACCACCACACCCGGCTACTTTTTATATTTTTTTAATAGAGGCGGAATTTCACCATGTTATCCAAGATGGTCTCTAACTCCAGGGCTCAAGCAATTTGCCTGTCTCAGCCTCCCAACGTGCTGGGATTACAGCTGTGAGCCACTGCACCGGGTCAGGCAGGTGCTTTTTAACTTCCTTTTGTGCTTGGATTCCTGTGGCACCTTGGTGAAGGCCTTGGATTCTTATAATAAAACCTTTATGGTCAGGCATGATGGCTCACGCTTATAATTTCAGCACTTTGGGAGAACAAGGTGGGTGGATTGCTTGAGCACCAGAGCTCGAGACCAGACTGGGCAATGTGGCAAAGACCCCACTGCTACAAAAAGAAAAAGAAAAGAAACAAAGAAATTACCCAGGCCTGGTGCTGTGCACTTGTGGTCCCAGCTACTCAGGAGGCTGAGGTGGGAGGATCACCTGAGCCTGGGAGGTAGAGGCTGCAGTGAGCTGTGATTGTGCCACTGCACTCCAGCCTAGGCAACAGTGAGAGCCTGTCTCAAAAAAGAAAAAAAAAAATCAAACCTTTACATGTTTAAATAAAGCTTATAAGATCACAAAGAAAACCTATGGAAATATGATTATTGAAATATTAAAATTTCAATACTAATGTAGTACTTTACAAGGACAGTAAGTACAGGTTGAACATCTCTTATCCGAAATGCTTGGGACCAGAAGTGTTTCTGATTTTGGATTTTTTCAGATTTTGGAAGATTTGCATAATACTTAACTGTAGAGCATCCCTAATCTGAGAATACAAAATCTGAACTGCTCCAGTGACCGTTTCCTGTGAGTGTCATGTTGGCACTTAGAAAGTTTTGGATTTTGGAACATTTCAGGTTGTAGGTTTTTAGAATAGGGATGCTAAACCGGTTCCAAGATCCACCAGCAGACTTGACTGCTGCAATAATTCTGAATAGGGACAGGCATGATGTTTGAAGATACCTGCGACAACTATAGTGGTGGTAATGAAAATAGCTGTGATATTTATTCGTGATAAAGTCACAATAAATGACTATGGAGTGTTGTTTACATTTGTAAGGAAATTCTAAATTTCGATTACAGATTAGTGAAAATAAAAACTTTTTTTCATCCAAATTCATAGACTCCCTCCCCTAAATTTTTCCTAAAAGGCCACCTTGGCTTCAAATTTATTCTTTTTTTTTTTTTCTTTTTTTTCTTTTCCTAAAAGGGATTCCCTAAATTTTTATCCACCAGCCCTTTGGGAGTCTGGACCCCAGGTGCAGAACCCCTGGGTAGACTGTATGCCATATTTATATGTGTGTGGCATTGTGATGTATGTGCAGATCAAATAGAAGAGAGGATGAACTCTGACAGTCTCTGAATTTAGTCCTCCTTTCTTAGATAAACTGAAATTAAAGAGGCACAAAACCGTGTAAAAATCTGACTTCTGAATTTTTGGGTATCTCACCTAAACAAGAAAACATACTGTATATAAATACATAGAAGTAGCATTTCAGGACATTCCCCTGAAAGATCCTAGCTTCAAATACTGGGGTTGAGTTTAGGCCCCAGTACTCAATTACATAGTGATTAAAACTTTTACCTGGATGATTGTAGTATTTGGAATCAAAAACTTGTCAGGCAGCTCTGACACCGGGTGGCTGTGATATTGGGTAAATTTCTTCTCAACATCAGTTCCATCATCTGTAAAATGAAATAACAAAAGGACCTGCCTTCAGCTTCATGCGGATTAAATGAAATCATCTATAAAGTGTTTTCATCATGGTGCTGGCACCTAGCATTTGTGCATTTGGTCCGTAGAGACCTAATTAGAAGAGAATTTACTTTGTTTTTAAAAATGCATCAGATCACCAGTGGAGAAATAAACTATGGTATCTGCATATAGTGAATGTTACACAGCAATAAAAACGAACAGTTAGCTACCTACAACCTCAGTGAGTGGTAAGGGCTAACAGGTTCACGAGGATGTAATTTCTTAGAAGCACTTTTCTGTGTTGTATTTCACAGTAATAGTATCTATAAGGTTAAGGTCATTTTTCCTTGTGTTCTCTTCTCTCCTCCTCTCCCCACTCTCCTCCGCTTTCCCTGCCTCCCCCACCTCAGTCACTCACGTCACCATCTTGTGATGTCACGTCATGCATTTCGGCTTGTTAGGTTCACAAACATGGGTTTATGTATGTGTTTCTAAGTCCAGAAGCAATTTGTGGAACCCACAGAGTATTGAGATACAGGCATAGTTGATCTAGGTCAGATACCTCATCTATGAAATTAAAAAGTTGGACTAGATTAGAAACTGTCAAACTTCAGTAGGTTTAAGAATCACTAGTAGAACTTAATAAAATGCAATTCTTCCACCAGGAAGTTTGGGTTTGTGGACCCCAAGAATCTGTGTTTTGCCTAGGCTTTCAGCTCCACACAGGGAAGCACATTGAACCCGATAGATTCTAAAGGGCTTGTTCAGGTGTAGAGTTATAAATTATAGAGTTTGAATATGATTTAATTGAGCAGTAATTCAAAACCTTTTTTTTTTTTTTTTGAGACAGAGTCTTGCTGTGTTGCTCAGGCTAGAGTGCAGTGGCACGATCTCGGCTCACTGCAACCTCCGTTTCTCAAGTTCAAGCAGTTCTTTCTCAGCCTCCCCAATAGCTAAGATTGCAGGCGTGTGGTACCATGCCCAGCTAATTTTTGTATTTTTAGTTGAGACGGGCTGTCACCATGTTGACCAGGCTGGTCTTGACTCCTGAATTCAAGTGATCCGTCTGCCTCGGCCTCCCAAAGGGCTGGGATTACAGACGTGAGCCACTGCACCCGGCTGGAAGCTTTTTTATTAGGATGAATAGAAAAGTGATTGTTGTAAGTAATAAAGTGGTGAGCTCATCCAGGTTGCTGATCCTATTTTACTTATTTATTTTATTTTTATTTTATGTTTTTGAGACAGAGTCTTACTCTGTTGCCCAGGCTGGAGTGTAGCAGCATGATCTCAGCTCATGCAACCTCTGCCTCCCAGGTTCACATGATTCTCGTGCCTCAGCCTCCCCAGTAGCTAGGATTACAAGCGTGCGCCACCATGCCTGGCTAATTTTTGTATTTTTGTTAGAGATGGGATTTCACCATGTTAGCCAGGCTGGTCTCAAACTCCTGACCTCAAGTGATCCTCCCTCCTTGGCCTCCCAAACTACTGGAGATTACAGGCGTGAGCAGCCGTGCCTGGCCTGCTCCTGTTTTATTTGTGCTTGTCCTCTTTGCAGGCATCTCACTCAGTAGACCATTGATGGGGTTTTTTAACTGAAGTTTTGAATTTTTTGAATTGAGAATCAAAGGCTTTAACTGTTGCTTTGTGTTGTCTTACCCCCAAAAGGTGTGGTCACTGTCAAAGATTAACACCAGAATGGAAGAAAGCAGCAACTGCATTAAAAGTAAGTTTCTTAGGAATGCAAAAGGCTTACAAAAGTTTTTTTTATAGTAAGTTTCTAAGATGTCCATATTCACCTGTGTATGTTTAAATAATAAGTATGCAGAGGGTTTAATGTTCAATGGGAAGCTAGTTGGCATATCAGAGTTGAAAATACTGGTTTGTTGTTAAAATTGTACTGAGAACAAGGGGATAATACACATTTAAATGCTTACATTGCCTGTTTTTGTTTATTCTGTTTCCCGGATAAATGACAGTTACTCTCAGCCCTGCCATTTCTGTGAGCTGCAGAGTTCCCTCCATGGGCTGACTTTGATTTCCCGCATCATTGCATTTAGATTCTCTTCTGGTGTTCAAGGCTAAGGCCCTTATTGACTCATTTTGCAAACTGCACCCAGTGCTTTATTACCTTTTTCTGAGTCTATATGAAGCAGATAATGAGTTCTTGTGGAATCTGCTGTAGCGGAAGGAAAAATTGTTATTTCTTTTACATTCCCACAGGATGTTGTCAAAGTTGGTGCAGTTGATGCAGATAAGCATCAGTCCCTAGGAGGTCAGTATGGTGTTCAGGGATTTCCTACCATTAAGATTTTTGGATCCAACAAAAACAGACCAGAAGATTACCAAGGTAAGGACTTTTCCTAGCTACTTCATTCCCCTGGTAGACAAGAACCTACTGTTCTTTAACGAGCTTGAGAACCTGCTCTACCTGCAAGGTTCTCAACTTCATTGTACCTGAATTATCTATAAATGGTACACAGTGATTCCTACCCCCTCCGAGTCAATCTGAAGGTGAAATGTGTGTCACACAGCTTTGTGTTATCACTTCCCGCTTGCTTAGGTCTACACTACATTAGCAATGATAGAAAATAGTGTTCTGTGCTACTCTCTTGTCTTTCTCATTACAGTCACTTGTATTTAATAAAGATCTACATGTATTTTCTTGCTCTAATCTCTCTTCCCTTTACTGTAGGAGAAGGGTCTAACATACTACTATAGAAAAGGAGAGTCTGTAATTTGAGAGTCTTAGTCTCCTGAACTGTCAATAATAAATGGATACACAAATTCTGTTTTGTAGATAAGTAAATTGTGAGTGTCTGCTGTGAGCCCCTGAGGCAACTAAAGATAGAATTCAGGTTCCCCCCTCCCAAGACTAAATGTTATTTCAGCAACACTATTCTTCTTTTTTTTTTTTTTTTTTTTTTTTAAAGAGACAGAGTCTTGGTATGTTGCCCAGCAAATTCTCAGATTCCTAGGCTCAGGCAATCCTCCTACTTCAGCCTCCCAAGTAGCTGGGATTATAGGCACTACACTCTTAGAGAATTGTCCTGTTATTTATTTTTTTATTTTTTATTTTTTTATTTTTTTTTTTGAGACGAGTCTTGCTCTGTCGCCCAGGCTGAAGTGCAGTGGCCGGATCTCAGCTTACTGCAAGCTCCGCCTCCCGGGTTTACACCATTCTCCTGCCTCAGCCTCCCAAGTAGCTGGGACTACAGGTGCCCGCCACCTCGACTGGCTAGTTTTTTGTATTTTTTAGTAGAGACAGGGTTTCACCGTGTTAGCCAGGATGGTCTTGATCTCCTGACCTCATGATTCGCCCATCTCGGCCTCCCAAAGTGCTGGGATTACAGGCTTGAGCCACCGCGCCCGGCCTTGTCCTGTTATTTAATTAAGATATCACAAATGGGCGGGGCATGGTAGCTCACACCTGTAATCCCAGCACTTTGGGAGGCTGAGGTGGGCGGATCATGAGGTCAGGAGATTGAGACCATGTGAAACCCCGTCTCTACTAAAATTACAAAAAAATTAGCCGGGCACAGTGGTGGGCACCTGTATCCCAGCTACTCGGGAGGCTGAGGCAGGAGAATGGCCTGAACCCAGAATGCGGAGCTTGCAGTGAGCCAAGATTGCGCCACTGCACTCCAGCCTGGGCAACAGAGCAAGACTCCATCTCAAAAAAAAAGAAAGAAAAAAAAAGATATCACAAACAGATTATTATATTTGAGATAATCAGAGTTGCTGCGTTGGGCCAGATCCATGGTGCTAGTAAAAGTATTGGGCATAATTTGTTTGAAGCTGAAATTATGGCTAATTTGGTAAAGGTTTTTGTTGAAGATGTTATATGGAACATATGAGTGACAGAACTTTGTCATCTTAGGTTTTGCTTTATGTGAGCAGTACCAGCTCACAGGTTGGGTGGCAGCATCAACATCATAGTAAAACAAAGAGTTGTCTGTCATTGGTGACTTGCCTGGGTCCAGCTAATAGAAGGCAGGGAAGGCGGGGGTGAGCGATACAGAATCTGTCGTGTGCGAGCTGGGAAGGCAGCCCATCCTGTCTGCCTGGCTGCTGGCTTCTCCACACTCCAACGTCGTAACTAAACTTAGTGTCTTGCTTCTCCGTAAAATGGGGATGTGCAAACCCCATTTTAAGGTACCAGAAGCTTAATTGAAATAGTACACATAAAGCATATGAGACAAATACTTGGTAAATACATGTCGTGGGCAGATCTCGAGGCTGGAGGTCTCGTCTGAAGACAAAGATGTGGCCTTGGACACGTCTGTACTTGCCTCCCCAGCTCCAAAGTTCTAGGGAAAGACCTTTTTTTTCCCCTGAGTAAACACTTGCTTTTCTGCCTTTGAATAATAGTTTGTTTTAGTTTTCCTCACTTACGAAAATGTGCATGTTTTTAGTGCAGTCAGCCTGCTGCTGTTTTTATAAATTTAGTTTATTGGAACACAGCCCTACCTGTGTGTCAACATAGTGTCTCTGGCTGCTTTTGCACTGGATCAGCAGAATTGAGTAGTTGCAATAGACAGTGTGGCCTAAAATGCTGAAAAGTTTTTTTCCTAGTATACTTCACGATTTGGCATGTGTCCAGATAAAGACTTGGGGAAGGGGCACTGGTTCAGATGATGGAGATGCCTGACATAGATAAGGAGCAGAGGCTGTTTCATGTTGAGGCCTTGCCCTTCTGTGTTATCAGGTGACATACTTGGTAGGCTCAGCCAGCGATACAGTGCACGATTATCTGAATAGATGCTGAGAGCTGCTGTAGTATATTTTGTGGGTATTTTTGTTTTGTTTTGTTGTTTGAGATGGAGTCTCGCTCTGTTGCCCAGGCTGGAGTACAGTGGCGCTATCTTGGCTCAGTGCAACCTCCGCCTCCCGGGTTCAAGCAATTCTCCTGCCTCAGCCTCCTGAGTAGCTGGGATTACAGGTGCGCACCACCACGCCTGGCTAATTTTTGTATTTTTAGTAGAGATGGGGTTTCACCATGTTGATCAGGCTGCTCTTGAACTCTTGACCTCATGATCTGCCTGCCTCGGCCTCCCAAAAGGCTGGCCGCCACACCTTAGATCTCTAATCCCAGCACTTTGGGAGGATCACTTGAGTACAGGAGTTTGAGAAAACTAAAAAAAAAAAAAAATTTTTTTTTTTTCCTGACATAGAGTCTCATTCTGTCACCCAGGCTGGAGTGCAGTGGCATGATCTAAGCTCACTGCAGCCTCTGTCTCCTGGGTTCAGGTGATTCTCCTGCCTCAGCCTCCTGAGTAACTGGGATTATAGGTGCCCATCACCACACCCAGCTAATTTTTGTCTTTTTAGTAGAGACAGGGGTTTCACCATGTTGGCCAGGATGGTCTCGAACTCCTGCCTTCAAGTGTTCCACATGCCTCCGCCTCCCAAAGTGCTGAGATCCCAGGCATGAGCCACTACGGCCCTCCAGAAAAGGAACTTTCTAAAGAGATTCTATTAGAACTAGTTTTGCCTTTAAACTGAAGACAGCAGATGGCATAGGTTATTCCAGTACTTCTGTGTTAGTTAATAGCCCCTGACTCTCTTGAGCAAATAAACTTATTTGGTGAACTTCCAAAGACTATTGTCATCTTGCCTCTGTGAGTTTTAATGCAGATTTGTTAAGTTCAGCTTAACAGTGTTTCAAGCAAGATAGAAAAAAAGAAGCCTGGAATGGTTTTCAGTTATTTGGCTTCAAAACACCTCATACCTAGTTTTTCCATCTTTTCTATCCGGTATTTCACAGAAATAGTTCCTTTTGTATTTGGGAAATTCCCCTGCTTTCCCAGCTAGATTTTAAGCTTCTTATTCACCCATGTCCATGTTCGGTAAACATTTGTGAGTTATTCTCATTAGGAGATGGTATTTGAGCAGGGAGTTTTCGTTCACACTAACTACATAAAACTTAAGAGGAATCAGGCTGGACATGGTGGCTTGCACTTGTGATCCCAGCACTTTGGGAGGCCAAGGTGGGCGGATCACTTGAGGTCAGGAGTTTGTGACCAGCCTGGCCGACATGGTGAAACCCCGTCTCTATTAAAAATACCAAAATTAGCCGGAAATCACTTGAACCTGGGAGGCGGAGGTTGCAGTGACCCGAGATTGTGCCACTGTACTCTAGCCTGGGCAACAGGGTGAGACTCCATCTCAAAAAAAAAATAATAATGAGAAAGGAAGAGAAATTGGTTTTCTAAGTGTTAAGTCTAGTGCAAAATGCATACTGGGGAGAAAGTTTGTTCTGTCAGAGATACACATGTTGTCAGAACTGTGTCACCCAGTGAAGCTGACAGTGAGGTAAAGACAGTCTTGGGCCGGGCCAGATGAAGCACTTGCTGAAGGCCGGGCTGAGGACCGCCTACCTTCCGTCTCCTGTAGGTGGCAGAACTGGTGAAGCCATCGTAGATGCTGCGCTCAGTGCTCTGCGCCAGCTTGTGAAGGATCGCCTCGGGGGACGGAGTGGAGGATACAGTTCTGGAAAACAAGTAAGACCATAAAATGTCAGTTTTTAATGTGTCGTGATTTTGAAGCCAGAGTGTGGATTCCTTGTAAAAGATAGTTGTTTTTTTAAAAGTATGTGAAAGTGGTAAACTTTCAATTAAAGAATAATGGAGGATTGGATCCACTGAACCCAGAGGGAACCAGCCATCCAGCCTGCTCATTTGGCCTCCTCAGGATTGCTGTTGCCATGGCCAGTCAGTCCCAGGGCCTCTTTCCACACCTGCAGTCCAAGTACCAGGCCCCTAGATAGGCTTCCTGGGCCCTGGGCTAAAACAGAAGAATGTGAACTTCAGCTCCAGGCCCAGGAGCCAGGTGCTGGCATCCCATGGCACTTGTAGGTCAAGAGTGGGGATGGGATGGACGGGTTCTCCTCTGGGTAGGCTTTGGCAAACTGATGAGACTGGATTACCTCTTGGCCTGTATCTGTGGCATTCAGCCCCAAATCCATGGAAATTCTACACAAATGGATAGGGGAGAAGAGAGAGAGAGAGGAGCAGATTGGTGTTTTAGATGCCCTTGTATGAAATGTGAAGCTTAACACTGATGTTCTTGTGAAAAGACAAACTTGAAGATATATAAATATTAAATGGGCCTTTACTTTTAGGAGACCAGTTAAACTCGCGTCTTTATACAGGCTCAGAGCTTACCGAAAGATTCCATGCTCTTGCCTTTTATTTTAAACTTAGACATTTAATGAGCATAGTTGCCTGGCCCCCTGCACCCTGCCTGGCAACAGAAAGCAATGCTGACTGCTTCTTAGATTTAGTACTGAAGAACATTCTTAGAAAAAAGAAAAGGATTAAGTGTTATTTTTAGCTTTGTTGACTGGTAGGGGCTTTGTCTATGAAAGATGTAGCGGAACATCCTGGGATGAAGCAGTAGCTGTACTTGAGTCTGAATTAGAACAGTGTTTTTAAGGTGGTTCTTTGAGCCATGTTGAGGTTTCTTACTAAAAAGAGCTGGTGACGGAATTCAGGTACAGGTTAGATGTTGTACTCAATGTATTGATAATTATTTGAAAGTAAAAGACTATTTACCAAGCAAAAATGATAATGCTGAAGAATGTACCCAATTTGAATACAACCATTTTCACTATTTTATTCACTAAAGAAAAACCCTAAAACTTCGTTAAGATGTAGAAGCAGTGTTATTTAAAATAGGAAAAGTATTCTTCTTGGCCAAATTGTTTGATGTTTAATGTCATAAATGACAGGGCAGAAGTGATAGTTCAAGTAAGAAGGATGTGATTGAGCTGACAGATGACAGCTTTGATGAGAATGTTCTGGACAGTGAAGATGTTTGGATGGTTGAGTTCTATGCTCCTTGGTGTGGACACTGCAAAAAGTAAGTGCCTTCTACTAAGTAGTCTGTTCAGCCACAGTGTTTTCAGTACATTGATTAGCTTATTTTGAAAGGGCTGAACTAGATAGTAGATCACCACTAAGATCTCTTCCAGAAAAACTCTGACTCTAAGTGAATATTAAACATTGACAGGGCCGGGCGCAGTGGCTCAAGCCTGTAATCCCAGCACTTTGGGAGGCTGAGACGGGCGGATCATGAGGTCAGGAGATCGAGACCATCCTG